TTTTAACAGCCTTAATTACAATCCTTGCTAATGATGATGGCCCTGGAGTTCTATCATTTAACAACAGCGAGCACTTTTTCTTAAGAGAACCTACAGCTCTCTATGTACAGGAGAGTGTTGCAGTATTGTATGTTGTTCGGGAACCTGCCCAAGGACTGTTTGGAACTGTGACAGTTCAGTTCATTGTGACTGGAGTGAATTCTTCAGTGGAGTCTAAAGATCTGACTCCTTCCAAAGGCTATATTGTTTTAGAGGAAGGTGTTCGATTCAAGGTACAGTATGAACCTTCACTGACAATGAAGGATTATCTTTGATATTTACAAAACAATTTTCTCTTAGAAGAGCAATCCAGGTTCTAGAAAGAAAACAAAAATATTTCCAGCTTAACCATTAGGTTTAAGACATGATTAGATTACTGTGTGAAAGTGCCATAGTGCTACTCTGTCTACAGAGCGCCACTGGTAAAATTTGTTCTGTTAATCAGGTAGTGGAATGCGCAAATAATAAAGAAAATATATGAATTCTATTTTACATATTAAGCACATTTAAGTGGAATACTTCATTTTATATGCCTGTAAACCACACACTAAAACTAAACTATTCTTTTCTGTCATTAAGCCTCAGCCCAATCATTCCTTCTAGCCACATTTTTGTTAAGCAAAATATAACTGCTTACTTCAGACCGCTTGTTTGAGAAGCAAGTATCCTATGTGAATAGGATTAGCTTATTGGAGAAAAATGCTTGATTTGGGTTAATAATAAATCTGATCTACACTAGCAGAAGTATATCTTCAGAAACCTCTTTTCCTGTTTCTGCTACTAAACTTTACTTTTAAAACACAGTTTAAGTTTAAAATAGCTAATTGCATTAGCTTAAGACATTTTTTCAAGCCAGTTATATAAAGTATAATAATTCTAAAATAATACATGTTAAACTATTTTATCTAAAAGAAGTCCACCCAATAATTAAATAATTTTATTTAAGATCAGTTTGTGTAAACTTGAACACATTTTGTAATGTATGTTTAATTTTTTCACATTCTTGAAATTTTAGAACCTTTTTTTATTGTTTTCAAGGATTCTTGCATCTTGATATAGATATAAAAATTCAAATTTGAAGTATTTTATGAATTTGCCATTGCTTTATATTCACATGCTTTTTCTTTTAAAAATATTTTAAATTTTAAAAAATATTTTAAATTATTTTATTGTGGTTTTTTTTTTAAGACTTTTTTTTACAGTGTATTTGAAGACTTTTAGTTCATTAGGCGAATTAAATGTTAGAGAAAATTAGAAAGAAAAATAAATTTTTCTTTCACAACATAGCTGCTTTTTTCCCCACATTTTGATTTTGAGATACAAAGAGTAAATAAACTACACAAATCTTAATTGTATGGCTCAATGACTTTAAAACTATGTATACACCCATGTAACCATGACTCAGATTAAGATACTGAAGATACCATCACCTAAAAGATTCTTGCC